CCAACCTTACAGCTCGTAAAAATGTCAGAAATTTAAATACTAGATAAATATCCCATAACTGCAACTCAAGGACTGATATAGCCGGAGCAACACTGCCAAAGAAAACGGCAATGTGCTGCATCCCTTCCTGAAAATTCTATATTTCCTTTATGGCTTTTGAGTGTTGGGTAGATTTTAGGCATACAGAAGCTGATAACTTACATAGATAACACACTGCAGAATCATCAATTAGGATGGCAAAAGTCGTAATTGCATAATCAGTGCTCATCTTAGGTTGGATGTAGGTCATTTCTTAGAACTCAATTTGCAACCTGAGAGATTGTTGATAAGGCTAGGTGGAGAAGTCCGGTAAAGTCATTATTACTGTATATAAATATATAAGAATGAAGGAAAGGGATGTGGGTTGTATATATAGGGGAGGAAGATTGTTGGAACTGGTATAGGGCTTAGCCTAACCTGATATTATCGGCTTCAATGACCGTGAAATTATTATCTTATCACCCTAAAGTTGTCCCCCCCACTAAGATGATAACTGGGTCAGCTGAAAATTATAATGTTAACCTGTTTGGGTGTGGTAATTCAATATCAGGTAGGTTATTACTGGGTATTAGAGTTCGTCTTACTCAAATTGCTACCTTGGCCTACTTATCGTGTGGTCAATCAGCAGATAGATATCCCACGTAAAAATCTACCATTTTGTCTGTAATATTTATAATGCATACAGGTATCGGTGTCAAATTAACTGAAAATGTTCACACCAGAGTCTGTAACCTTGTTCAAATTTCATTGAGGAAGCTTAAAAATAAAACAATACTGAAATTAAAACAATCACTGAAACTAAATTTGAAAATAATACTGCATTGTCTTTCATGAAAAGGATGAAACTTTTTTTTTGGCAACTCGTACATACTGATTAGTGATCAGCTTGATAGAAAATTTTCCCGACAAATGTGTTCCCAGACTTCAATTTCTTCATGCCGTCACCTTCAGATGACAGGCTCTCGTAACTTTCAAATTCATTGCATATAGTATTGCCATAACCTTAATATTTGAAATCACTAAAATTCTAAAAACTCCTTTCCGTCAATAAATCTTACGATACTACCCCACAAATAATCATTTCTGGCACTGTTTCCTCGGATAGAACAAAATCTGGCAGAGATCTATTCACTTGTCTAGGAACAGACAGTGCAGTTGGAATTGTAGAAGTCCCCCCAAAAAAGTCTTGGCAACGTCATAAGTGGTTGTTAGGGCGCTGCAGACTGGGGGTGACACTTCTGACTGATGAGGGCCAACCTTAGGTTTTGTCAAGCATGTCTATATTATGTCAGTTTTAGCAGCAGATGGGAACTTTTATGTAAAACTGCTGTCAAAATGGCATGTCAAGGTTATTGTAGGAATAGTTTTTAGTTTTGCTGCTAAATATTTCCATGAATGTAAATTAGAACCTACATTTTTGGAACCTAGGATGAAGATCCACATGAAATAGACACGGTAGATGTATGTAAGGGATAAGTTGGTGAACCTGTGACCAAAATAGTTCTTTCAGATATTTTTGTTTTTGCAATGACACAAAGAATTTGAAATGCAAAATGGTTGATCTTAGAAGGACGATTCAGAAAATTGCTATTAACTAGAGAAGTGATGAATGGTTGTTGGAAATTGCTGTAATCCTCACATTTGTAACTGCAACTATTTCTATAAATGTTGTAACCTTGGTGATCGGATTTTGAACACCAGTGTGTACTTTTACACAGCAGTCTATCGTATTTTGATGAATTATGTAAACTTTACACAGGGGTCTGTAGTAATTTGATGAATTATGTAAACTTTACACAGCGGTCTGTAGTATTTTGATGTCTTATGTAAACTTTACACAAGGTTCTGTAGTATTTTGATGTCTTATGTAAACTTTACACAGGGGTCTGTAGTATTTTGATGAATTATGTAAACTTTACACAGGGGTCTGTAGTATTTTGATGATTTAGATGTCTTACAAGATTTCTCTGTGCTTCATCAATGTGTTTTGTTCGTTGATCTTATTTCTTCTTCGAAATAACTCTGTAGTGCATCAATGCCTGACCCGGTGACCCAGGCAGCCATGCCCGCTGACATTAATGGCTTACCATCTCCACCTTTACTTATCTAATAGTTGTGGAAGGATTTTTGGTATTTGACAGGGAGAGAACCGCAACACTGAACTTTCGGATGTCAGGATGTTAAGATTTGACACAGCGGTCGGTAGTCAGAGAGAGTTCCAACACTGAACTTTAGGATGTCAGGATGTTAAGATTTGACACAGCGGTCGGTAGTCAGAGTTCCAACACTGAGTTCTGAAATCAAAACCTAATAAAGTACAGATCTAAATGTTTTTGTCCAGAATCTCCCGTTGTTATCCACAACCTGTCAGATATGACGACTATGGAAGAAGTGTAGCGTAATTTGCCAAACATTTGTTGGAGATGTCTTATATACATATTACTTATATAAGTTATCGTTGAAAAGATGTCGGCCATCATTTTTGTTTCCCTTGATACTAGATCTGCACTTAAAAATTCTGGACTCTTTTGTGGGTTCGATAATGTGATGTCATAGGTATGTAAGCTGAGCTCTTGCAAATAATATTGTTACATAATGGGTCTTTTAATAACATGTAGGCATGAATTTATATTTGATATGTCAAAACCAATTGGTTTATCATGAATTTCTATTGACTTAAGAAAGATGGCAACCATTTTGTTAACCTTCATATCAAATCTGCACTTTTACTCATTCACTCCTGATATTTCATAATTAAATATTCCAACCTTTGAATTGGAAGAGTTCAAATGCGTCTCCAGGGGTATATGAGTTAAAGCTTGGTATATTTTATAGATTTGTGTCTGGATATTTCAAAGTTTAATTGTACATAAAGCATAATTTTATTATAGATCTATCAATGTAACTTTCTGATTTAAAATCAAATACAGTTCCATTTAGTGTATTTTGAATTCAAAAACATAAATCAATCCATATAAATCACAGACGTATATCTTGCGGGAAGTTCTTTTATAGCTATCTTAAATTTTGTTATAAACATAGTACATTCCTTTCGTTAAAGTTTCCCTCCCCAGAAATTCAACAGTAATTTACTGGCTGTGTGTGATGGTGTACCCTGATGTATCTTACCTCGTAAAACGTGAATTACAAAGACATTATGGGCTCTCCGTACATATGAAGTAAAATGATACGTGTGATTTCTCAATTTAAGAGATGTGTCAAGACTTTATTCTTGTTTTACTACTGGGTGTTTTGCCGAAGTTTTGATAAATGTTTTTTAGATAGATTTATTCAGAAGATTTTGATTGGTGTACGATAATTACGTTCTTAACCGACTTGCTATTTTAAGTGGCGGCGAGTCCCCTAGAGTACATTTGATGATGTGACCATGAAAGTCGGCAAATAATTACAAGAGAAATGGGTTTTTGAGAAGTGTGACTTGTTGAAGAGATGCGTATGGTACAAAAATGAATGATATAATCACCAAACTCCTGGAAAATTATTGACAGCTTCAAGGTCTGGGATGTGTTTTCTTACAAAGTCATTCTGTATTGAGCTCTTTCATAGGTATATATGTATACATCAGGATCAGTGTGGGGCTTTTTGGATAAAAAAACCCATTTCCAATAATTTTTTGAACTGAATGAGAAATCACCTGCTCATATAAATTACTTTTCTTGGCATGAACTCGAAAATGTCCAGTATTTCATAAAATATGAAAGAGGCAAAGCTGTCTGCTCCACGTTTGATAGTTGGTTCCTGCCAAGGACACTGTGATATGTGCTTGAGCAAGACTTTTAACCCTGATTGTTCCTGTCTACCTAGCTGCAAGATTAGGTAGCAGCATGCTGAGAAGCAGCAGAATCAGCATCAGTCTGCACCGTATTAAGGAATTAGGACAAGGATATCGCTTTGTCTATCTCTGTAGTATGCCATTATCACAAGAGTTTGGTTTTAAATTCGAAGTACTTCTTATCAGGGTGAATTTCTACGTTTGAAAACTGATGCAGTGGTAGTTCTTATGACTTCACGATGGAGTGACTCTTACGCAATGAAAAGATTTCTGCAGAGATTTCCACGATTTCTAACGGGAGCCACTCCCCACCTGTCTTATCGCAAAGTCCCACTAAAACCGCCTGAAGATAGGAACTGTACCAAAGGATCATCAGTACAGAAATATTAATGCACAAATTTCTGTTACAGCTAACAAGTATTTTCATTTCACAATTGCACAGGGTATAATAACAGATTTCATCATGTATAACATTAACCCTTAAAATTTCTTGTCATTTGTAAAAGTTATTTTGTAATTAATGAGACAGAAAAAGCCAAATAAGTTTTTTTGCCAGATTAGTTTTGTGTTTCGAGATTAAGCTTTAGGATTTCATGATCTAGAATGAGGCTTAACTACCTCCAAAGAGACTGTGAATAGATCCAATTATGTCGGTAATCGTCTGTGCAGTTTCCGTGCAACGGATAAGTTGGGAAATAATACAACCACCTAACCACATTGTTGAAATTGAAATTGTAGAAGTGGACGGGGACTTTCACAGGTTTCTACTACGGGCGGATATTACAGACGCTTATTGTGAAAGCACCAGTTGAATGCTAATAAAAATTGTTTTGAAGGATATTCACATCCACGTTCTTCATCTCTTTCCTCTTTTCTCATTTTTTCCGACCAGACTTTCCATAAATGTGTATATCTTAATGAGTCTTACAGCCAGTTTGATTAAGCTTGCTTTACCTGTCTGAGAGAGGGGAGGGATGATGTGATAGTTTTAGATTATTGAAATATTAGAGTGTAATATTTTTGTGAATTAAAAATGACTGCAAGACAGATATTCTTACCTGTACACTTTTAATGCAGTTTATGTGCTAAATGTACTCTCCAAATCATACTGGATTTGTGTTTTTGAGATGTTTTATGGTGATTATAATTTTCTTCTGTACTTTTCCAGGTCCATCAGTACTTCACTGCTTTGCCAGAGGACAAGGTTCCGTACCTGAACAGTGTCGGGGAGAAGTATCGGGTTCGTCAGCTGCTGCAGCAGTTACCTCCCCATGACAATGAAGTACGCTACTGTAATACGCTGTCTGAGGAAGAGAAGAGAGAGCTACGTATGTTCAGCACCCAGAGGAAAAGAGAGGCCCTGGGGCGGGGCAGTGTGCGGCCCCTACCCCTCACCATGCAGGGGAGCATATGTACCAAGGTAAAAGGANCACCCCCACCCCCCGGGTATTCTTGAAATACATATGTTCAGAAATGATCTTCATGTATAAAAGTTTTTGAACAAGTGGTGGATTTATTACTGGTATTTAGCATTGGCTTTTCAAGTTACCTGTGTGACACAGGGTTGGGCTTTTCACTAGTTAATTCATGTGACTGGGCTTATCATTGGTGAAACCTTAAACAAAGGGTGGGCTTATATTACTGGGCATGGGCTTATCACCACTTACGTGTAGTTGTACGTAATATACAATACAAACTGTAACCTACAGAGGGCAACTTTCATTCTACACAAACTCCTTGTATTATCTTGTTCCCGAATTTCCATCCAATTTCAATTGCATGATTGGTTTAACAGAAGGCATGTGCAGTCGGAAAAAAACTCTCTCACCCCGTGTTTTTTACCAGTACTCCGTCTTACAAAACATCCGGGTCTGTGGAGGTATCGTACACTGTAGGAGGTCTCTGTGTCCTGTGATCCTCTTGTCTCGGTTAAATCTATGTTATCATTTCATTGACTGGTGGAGAGTCACGTAGCACCACTGACAAGTTCACTGATTTTTTTCCCCCTCAAGTATTTTTTTTCTTCTGTAACAGAGCTGATACAAAAATGTCAGCAGTTTTCTAGTGTACGTACAGGTTCATGGCCCCCTGTATCTCCGCTTGTCTCTGATATAGTAATAGTTTCTTAACCTACAGTTCATAAGAACTAAAGTATCTTAGAGGGGAGGGGGCATTTGGATCAGCAGAAAGATGGGGAAAATTAGTACAAACATGAGCTAAATCAATCATGTTTGGATTAATACAAATATCTGTGCATTGGTCCCCGAATGATTCAGACTTAGTCACACCGTTCAGAGTTATTCCAGTAAATATTTCTAGATTTTATTCGATACTATACAACATATTGACTACAGGATTAATACGAAACAGTGCTTTTAACCAAGTCAAACTTATGTTGCTTGACATTGATTTATTTCATAAACATAAAGCGATATTACAAATTTTGCCATATTTTGGTCCTCTACGGGGTTTGTTACTAACATATTTTTGTGTAACAGTGTCGAGACTGACAAGAAGAGTCCAATCAATGTTAATAAGTACATTATAAATTACGGAGACTAAAACGTTTGATTGTAGTATACCCTGTAAGTATATCCCGATGCACTGTTCCCAAACTACTTAGAGCACGGCTGATCTAGGCGTACTGTTACACCCTACAACTGTTACGTGACGGGGACAGTTAAGTCGGTAGAAACGGATCATATGCACTTAACGGGATGTAATAGATATCCACATTATACAGACGAAAGAAGGCCTTGTATGTAGGGCTTGGAATTTGTACTGGAAATTATACCCGGTGTATGTAAAGGAAACCAAACTACTGGTAAATCTCCCGTGTAATCAGTCGGTGAACACATGGTAACAAAAACGTACAGAACGGATGAGATTTAGAAAGTAATATCCGTAGATAAAGTGATTTTCTATTGGCATTACAGAATGATGAATATTTTAACGGTAAAAATGGAAATGGCTGTAACACAATTCCACCCCTCATCGTTTCCAATGTCTGACTTTATAGCTGTTACAAATGTGTCCGGTAAACTGACTGCGACAGAACAATTTTCACGTCCTTTTAACCTTTTTCACACCCTATTAACCGTGAAAGGTTACAGATCTAAATGGTCACCTCCCTATGAGTAGGTACTGTGGTGCAGGGGAGGTAACTCTCACAGCAAAATGTGCACATTTACAAAACACATACCACCTAACGGTATTTTTTCATTTGAAGTTTATTTAGAAGTTTAAAGTCAAAATTTAGTTAAACAAGGACATTTCTTTCTACTGCAAAGACATCTTAACACACATCAGATTTTGCATGGAATCTTGTAGCTTATAGCGTAGAACTTTTTATCTCTTATTAATTTACTTAAAGATGCATATTGCAATTTCTCATAAATTTGGGTAGATCCATAAGTTTAAAGGCAGATGGTTTTTTTATCGAAAATTGTTTTTTATCTGACAAAGTTGAATCCTTTCTATTAAGGGGAATATAACGATACCATGCAATCAGGAAAAAATTACATTTTGTCATGTTTGCCTATTTCAGTGCCAAGAGGTAGTGCCAGGAGGCTCTATAGCAGTTTTTGCGTCGCGGGCCGGACATGATCAGTGCTGGCACCCAGCATGTTTTCTATGTACTACCTGCGAGGAGTTGCTCGTCGATCTCATCTATTTCTTCAAGGATGAGGCATTGTACTGTGGGCGACACCACGCTGAACTCATCAAGCCACGATGTGCTGCTTGTGACGAGGTATACTAATCTTTACGCCAGATTTCAGTTTTCGTTTAATAAAATCATTTTAGTTTCTTATAAAACCTATAATAGGAATTAAGATCTCCTGACAGAAATTTCATTTCATTGGTATTTTTTACAAAATATGTAGAGCCAATTTAGTTTCAACTTTTTCACCACTGTAGACCATAATGGACTCATCCAGATCAATGCATGGGAGAGTCAACTAAAGTTGCATAGGAGTGAAAGGGTTTACGCCAGAGTTAACTTTTTGGTTTATCCTTGGGGTATTACAAACAGTGACACCAGTAATCAATACGAGATTACATAACATCCGGCCACTCACTTTTTTCTTCAGAAACTTTCCCAGTTGAATATAATCCCTTCATCAAACGCACTCAGTATTAAGTAATGAACGTCTTGTTTTTATATCCAGTGGACCAGTAGTTCTGCTGAGTCGACACCCTCATATATAGTGATGGTAACATCCAATGTCTATACATTGTGTTCTATGTACCACGTACATAGCCAAACTCCCCTACAGTGATTCAACAGCTTCAGTTTTGTCTAAACAATGCACAGACTTGTTTTTATGTGCTATATAGTTATGCTAAAAGCAATTGACAAAACATGTACTAGTACTTTTAGATTAATGATATATTGTCTCTGTTTGGTAAAGTTGGTGGCCATCTTGTTTTTAAGCCAGCTGCTCATCTGTCCTTCCTCCCCTGTATCATTACACATGAAGCAAAGGAAGACATTCATTGTTATCATACTGGGATATACTAAACATGTCTAGTCGTCATATTTTAGTGTACATTTTATCAGTTTTCTAAACATTTGTATTATATCACGTTTCAACATAATTTTTCAGATCATTTTCGCGGACGAGTGTACTGAGGCAGAGGGTCGTAGCTGGCACATGAAACACTTCTGCTGTTTCGAGTGTGACCGACAGCTGGGCGGCCAGCGTTACATCATGAAGGAGGGGCGGCCTTACTGCTGCATGTGTTTCGAGAGGATGTTTGCCGAATATTGTGACACATGTGGAGAGCACATCGGTGTCGACCAAGGACAGATGACCCATGAAGGTCAACACTGGCACGCTACGGAAGTGTGTTTTAAATGTCACACATGTCAGAAATCGTTGATTGGACAGCCATTTTTACCTAAACATGGAGTAATATACTGTTCTGCTGCATGTAGTCGGGCAGGGTCAATGCAGACACAGACCCCACGCCGTCCAGAGGATTATGCGGCAGACATTGATGGCATGAGACTAGGCTCCCCTGTCAGTCACGCCCTGCAGGAGAACAGTGTTATGGGGATACAGGAAGCTCTTCGCCAACAGTATTCTCTATCGGATAATAGTCAGCCTTCGTCAGATCGTGATCAAGGATACGCCACCAGTAGCAATAGTGAGGTTTACGCACCAGGAATGTACGAACCACCTCAGTCCCAGCTGTCTCATGTTCGAGAGTCACAGTGTAGTTACGAACTCAATCTGGATGGTCTGAGAGAAACATTGCCCCCAGTGTATGAAGGTGTACGGAGAAAGAAACGTTTATCGCAATTTTCCATGCCTGATCTCTCAAAGGAGCCAAGCTCTCCTCTGTTGAACGAGCGACATAGCAACAGTAGTTCACGTAATCGAAGTCGGTCTGGTTCTCAGTCAAACCTCAATCTTGGTGGCTTCCACAACTATGAGGAAATTGGGCCAGCATTGTTTCAGTCTGATTATCTGCCCAATCAAGCACCACCTCATTTATTTGGAAACAGACCTGACAGGTCACTGAGTTCATCCCACGCTGGTAATGTACAGAGTTACCCCGAGTTACGTAACATACGCTGTGTGAACCAATCTCCTCAAAACGAAGGTAGGAATCCCCCTCAACTACCCGACGGTGAGAAAATGAACCCGATACGACGTCCTCCTACAGGTCGTCCCCCTCAGCCGTCACAGGCATCACGGTACCCGCGTAGTCGGAGCTTCGAGGGTCGGCCTTCAGACAGGCATCATTATCGGGACTATCATAGGGATCATAGAGAACACAGAGGCCATCACCATGAAAACAGAGGTCACCATCATCATGGACACAGAGGACATGCAAATGACTTTCAAAGTCATCTGAACGAACTTAGAGGTAATCCGAGTGAGTTACCATCCACGAGTCAGGAGCCTGTGAATCAAACAGGTTCTCGCCGTGTGGAGTTTCTGGACGATTATGAGGATGACCAGTGTAGCACATGCTCCAGTTCTACAGATTCAGATGATTTTTATTACTACTATGATAATCCACGTAGCTTCACCAACAAAATCTCCTATGTGGACGATATGGGTGTCGGCCTAGGGCAGAGTAACGCCATGAGATCGCGGACATCTGGCCGGCACCGCAGTAAAAACAAGCAGTGTGTCATCTCCTGAACCAAGGAAGAGTGATTGTCAACATCACTCGGAGGTTATTTGTGTAGATGGAAGGACATCTGGAGGATTTTTGTGTGATCTTGTTCAAGGGAGATAATCGGTTTTACTCAACACTTTAAAAAAACATGTTACATGACTCGAATGTTATACACTGCTAACCAAACTGTCAAAATATACCAGTATAAAACTAAATGTGTTCATAACCTTCGTATACACTTAAGTTATGTTGAAATATATAATTAATCTGATGTATGTTTTACACTATATTCAGATGCATTCTGTGTGTTCCATTATATTGGGGTTTAGAAACCTAGATATGTGACGGTTTCAGAATATCATAACTGCTGTTGGATATGTGAGTAAGAAGTGACTCACTTATTACTAGATGAGCTGTCTTTCAGTTTATAAACACTGGTGTTTTCATTTACTTAAATAATCAAAATTGTAATCATTAAATTTATTAAGGCTTTATTTGAAGCATATAGAAGTAAAAGAATAAAATCATATAATTTTGTTTCAGCTCATTAACAAATGAAATTTTTTGACCTATTGGTGCTAAACTTAAAATGGTCGCTTTATGTAAAAAAATAATTTAGTAATGCTTTGATTACTGTTTCCAGTCGATGCTATTTCGTTGTTGAATCAAATTGGAAAATTTCAAAAAATGTCAATATTGTTGATTTTCTTCATTAATATACCTAGATATGCAAATCAATTTTACAACATCAGGAACTGCCGAAATAAAACACACATGTATTTCAAGTTTTACCTAAATGTAAGGATTCCTGTATATTCAATAACATCATTTTGTGTAAACTCTCATCCATGTTGGTTGTCATGACAACCACTTATATCATAGATATTCTATGTGAACGTAACTATTATACTGTTATAAAATATATACAGGTGTCTCAGCTAAAATATAAGCACTGAGGTAATTTTTTTCAAAATTCAAATATCGATTTAGTTTGCAAATTGTTTTATCAAAGTTGTTTTTAATTTACTATAAGGTATATTTTAAGGTCAAGGTTTTCCATGACTTTTTTTAGCAGGTCAAGGTCAAATGGACCTTAGTGCTACCTTAAAATTAATTTGTTTTGAATCAAGATGGGAACTTTTTCCCCTGAGAATTTTATGCCAGTTTTACTTGAAGAAAGAGTCTAGTGCTAAATCAATGTAAATTGACTATACTCACAAAATCAAGTGTTGTGATATTTTTTCCAGATATTGACTTTGAGGGTATGTCTAGTCTTGCGACCAATTGATCATAACTTAAAGGTACAGATTCTGTAAGTTGTTCTGGTATAATTCCCAATCTGTCAATTTAAAAATACACATTACTTTGACTAAACTTTTTACTTACTTAACACATCTTAAAATTCCCCATAGATTGAATAACGGGAAAAAGTGACAAAATGATAAATTTATCGTCTTGTTTGTTGATTTTATTTTTTTTTAAATTGAAAACACACCTTTTTAAAAAAAAAGTTACTTTAGCATTTGTTGTTGTGACAAGAGAGTAACACATCAGTACTTACATTGTGTTTATATTGGCTAACTTACAGAACATGAACCTTTAAGATGTTTTGTATATATTTGTAAGCAATGTGTTTTGGTCTCTTTATAAGTATATTGGCTGTTCTGTGTATATTTGGACCTATTTAAATCTGTTTTTATGTACATACTTGTTAATAGACCTCGTTGTTATGTATACTTGGCACAAAGTACAGCAATCAAGATATTTAGTAAGGCTAGATCTAGGCCCTTGGTGATGGGAGATAGGGGAAAATTAGCTGGGATACCAAACTAAATCAGGCAAATACCAATTGGGAATTTCTAAAAAAAAAAAAAATTACAAAAAAAACATTTTGTTTATTTGATTTGTTGTGTAATTTACATGGATTGGTAAGCCATGGATGAGTTATCTCCCCTGGCCCTTTGCCTGGCATCTGCCTTGTTTATTACCTAGTTACAATATCAGTATTATATATGTATGTAAAGGAGCTATAACTTACGTATATTTGTCATTACCTTCATCAGTCATCAGCTATAAATGCATTGGTTAATAAGTTCTACAATTTTGATTCAGCATGAAATTTGAAATTTAATGTATGTTATGCATTTTTGTCAATCATTTATTTGAATAATTTTGACACTTTTTTCTTCAAAATTAGATTATTTTGACACTGCAATTAAGACTCAACTTCAAAAGCAGAAAAAAGATAACAAAATGTTTGCCAAAGAAGGAAATCTATACTGAATTTCCTAATTTATGGAATTATGTATAATACAATGGTTGTGATTGGGTTTAATGGATTGGTTTAATTATTTTAACAACAATTAATGCTTCTCATGCATTTAATTATCATATGTCTTGTCCGTAACTGACCTTTTTTTTTTTATTGAACTTCTGCTTCTTGTTTAAGCAACTTGATGCATTTTTTTTGTACAATTGATCTTGGTTTACTAGGATTCTCCCAGCTTACCACTACAATTTCCTAAAGAGGGCATTGACCTTACCTTGTAACCAGCAATATTTGATCAGTTGTTTTCTACACGTTTGGCTATTTGTCCGCACAAAAACAGAGTGTGAGGTATGTAGCAGTATCATTTTCTACCGACTTATAGTACAGTTGAACCTCTTGATAACGACCCTCTGTCAGAAAAGACAGGATAATGTGATGTTAGACAAAACAGTTGAAACCCTCTATAGTGACCCTATCAGACACAACAGGTTTTGTGATAATAGAAAGTACAAAATGGACCTCTCTATAGCGACCCTCTGTCAGAATGGACCTCTTTATAGTGACAACCTTCGATCTATAAAGCTTCATTTCAGAACCCAAAAATCTTCCCTCAAATTTCATTCTAGTAGAATAACTCACCAAAGTGAGTGATGATCTTGTGAACTATTTCCCAGGGAAATAGCTTGGAAGAAGATGTGGCTTGTCCAAGCTTTAAACAATCAGCTTATGTTTTGGTGAGGCTCCAAATTTGACTTTCACCTCTAATATGCAATTGCAGCTTGTTTTTTTTCCCCATAGATCTGTGTTACATTTCTTCTGTAACTGGTCATAAACCACTGACAATAATGTAAATGAAGAAAAAATTGTGATGAATAAGTATAAATCTACGCCTGTTTCTCTCAGCTTGGCCTCAGGAAATGCCTGGTCGCGGGGAACAAGATAACCCCGTTTATATAAAAATCTATACATAGTTACAATTTAACTGTGTATTCTTCTCCCATACTTCACATTTTCATTCTGTTTTAGGTAGGGCAAAGATAAACTTTTTGCTCAGGTAGGGACAGATAGCTTTTATAGAAACAATGTTGTTGAGACTTCTGACATTGTCGGAGATTCACAGATCTGTGAAGTTCATGCAGTATATCGTTACATGTAGATGATAGATACAAGAAAAGTCATTGATCACCTATGTGAGGTTGAAAGAGAAATCTCAGCTCAATATTTCGGAGCCCAAAAGCAAGGCCTTACGAAGTGAAGTTCTGGCCTTAGAATCCTAGGCATGGGTTGACATTTGTCTGTCTATATCACATAGGTGATAAATAATACTATCGTTTATCCATTACGAGGGTCGTTAAAGACAGGTGATCCTATAGACAGTTGTCGTAGATAGATATGAGCATTGTGATATTAGTTCGGCGTCTGTGATTCATTTATTGGTTTTGCAGATTGATTTTGCAGGGCAGCAATCAGTAGGTTATAGACACGCGTGATATTTAAGTTAACGTTCTTTCCTCGTCTCTTTGTATGCAACTAATGCTTTGTGCCTTTGTGGATGAATATGCAGTCTTATCTTTAACTTTCATGTTTTGTATATATACATGTGAGACATGACATCAAAATAAATAAACATGGATTTACCTCTTTAGATGAAGATATGGTTTTTGTTTTGTTTGTGAGCAAGATAATTGATTTTAGTGAAGCTTCACAACATTGACTTAACAAAATTAAAACTGGAGTTTTCACAAACTGTACAGAGTAGAAACTCGAGATGAAAAAGCCTGTTACACAAAACATTACACGGACAAAATTCAAGCTGAATAAGGACCTTTTCACAAACTTTACAGAGAAGAAACTCGAGCCGAGACAGACCATTTACACAAACTTTACAGAGAAGAAACTTGAGCCAAGACAGACCTTTTACACAAACTTAACAGAGAAGAAACTCGAGCCGAGACAGACCATTTTCACAAACTTTACAGAGAAGAAACTTGAGCCGAGACAGACCTTTTCACAAACTTAACAGAGAAGAAACTTGAGCCGAGACAGACCTTTTACACAAACTTAACAGAGAAGAAACTTGAGCCGAGACAGACTTTTTACATAAACTTGACAGAGAAGAAACTCGAGCAGAGACAGACCTTTTACACAAACTTAACAGAGAAGAAACTTGAGCTGAGACAGACCTTTTACATAAACTTGACAGAGAAGAAACAAGAGCTGAGACAGGCCTTTTACATAAACTTAACAGAGAAGAAACTTGAGCTGAGACAGGCCTTTTACATAAACTTAACAGAGAAGAAACAAGAGCTGAGACAGACCTTTTACAGAAACTTAACAGAGAAGAAACTCAAGCTGGGTAAGACCTTTTACACAAACTTAACAGAGAAGAAACAAGAGCTGAGACAGACCTTTAACAGAAAATTTACAGAGTAAAAACTCAAGTTTGAAGAAGCCTATTTCACAAACATTACTGAGAAAAACTCAAGCTGAAGGAAGGCATTAAAATAAGCTTCACAGAAAAGAAATTCAAGCTGAGTAAGACCAGTACCACAAAGTTTACAGAGTAGAAACTTGTGCTGAATAAGGACCAATACACCAACTTGAATACGATAAGTGACCAACAGATTAGAAACTGTCTTTTGAAAGGCCTATAACACTGACATAGACCTTACTTGGTTTAGTATGACCTTCACAATTGACAGGTTGAGAAGACAATCAACTTTAGCAAGGCCTTTTCAAACATACAGGTTTGAAATTAACCTCGGAAAACACATTTTGATATTGAAGATAACCCATCATGTTTCTCCCAAACTGAATTCACAGGGGCATTTCGTGTTTTTGCTAGGGAAAAGATTAATAGAATCTCTCACCCCCTTGAGGGTGAGATAGGGTAATCTCAACCCTCGGGGAAAGATTCATAAGTAGCCTAACATGAGGCTGGCGAGATTCCCCCCTCTCACCCCTCAGGGGTGAATGATTATTTTTCTCTTATCCTGTTCACCCATTGTGTATCATACACATAATGTACTGTTAACATTACAGGCTAGATGCAAGACTGGATATTTTTTTGTTACACCCTCAAGGTAGGGGATGATTATTTTTCTCCCATCCTATTATTTCAGTCACAGCTCCACCGACAGTAGTCTTCCATGTTTATAAACAAAAACACATGTGGGGTATGCATATCGTCATTCACTTTTGATGACCTCACAATTACCGATGACGCATTTTGATGATGTCACAATTGAACATGTGCTAATCGGCACGAGGCTATCTCTCCCTAGGGGTTGACAAACTGATCTTTCCCGGCTAAAACGGGAGACACGCCTGTGAAGGGTGGGAGAAAAGAATATCTCGCACTTGGAAAAGTGTACACCTGTCCAGGGTAAGAGAAAAACCTGACTTTACCTACCTAGGGGAAGACAGATCACACAGGCTTTTATTCTTAAAACATCATAATCACATCATCACTTTATGCCGTGTAAGCAGGGTAGTGTAATTAATTCTAGCTGTCGCACATTTCATGCACTCTTAATGTTTTCAAGTGTGGTACCATTACAACATGTTTTCACGTTAGGAAAGTGTGAGAGAAAAATAATCGGTCACTCTTGTGAGATGTAAACAGAAATATCAAGGATAAGATTTTCGAAGTTTAGTACTCGCCAAAGTTTCACATTGGTAACAAATATTGGTCCCAGTGATGGTTCAGTTAAGACAGGTCTTGATGGTCAATTCAAACAAGTTTCTTTGAAATAACAATAGACAGATTTGTACTTTAGTAATGTAATGATTGGTCCCGGTGGTGGTCCCTGTGGTGGTCACTGTGGTGGTCTAAGACAGCTTTTACTGTACTGGTGATAACAAACACATTGGTAACATTGAGGTAATATTAGGTGTTTTCTCTAGCAACAGAAATATTGGATCATGTGGCGGTCAGTTTATCATATTTTACTATAGTTGCAGAAATATTGGCCTTTGTGGTCAGTTTAGACAATTTTTAGTGAAGAAACAGAAATATTGGTCCTTGTGGTCAGTTTAGACAATTTTTAGTGTAGTAACAGAAATATTGGTCCCTGTGGTCAGTTTAGACAGGTTGTATTGTAGTGACAGTAATATTGGTCTCTGTGATAAGTTTAAACAGGTTTTACTTGAGCAACAGAAATTATAGCCCCTTTGGAGGTCAGTTTAGAAAAGTTTTATCAATTGCTATTAAAGAGTAGATCTTTTCCTTAAATATGAATAAGATTTTAACAAAAAAATACAACATTTCTTTTAATATTTCACTTATTTTAATCATTAAGTTTCTATACATATATATATATCACAGACTTTAAATAAAAGTTAGATACATTATTTACAAATGAAAAGAATTCTTTACGGAAATAGTGACAAACAGGCTCTCTCCATTCTCACCATGGAAAATTAGGGGAACAATCTATTTCATTGGCTGAAATGAACATTTCAAATCGTTCAATATCGATCCCTCACACAAATACACAGATGTTATACGAATGTTAAATTTGTTTCTGACATAAAAGTTCTCAAGACTTTACGAAAAGGAACTGTTGTAAAATCTTTGTCATTTTGATAGTTTCTTCCTTTTGAGAGACACTGATAACACAAACTTACTTTTAGAGTAAATTTGGGGATTGTGTACAAAACACTCAAAACTTAGAAGATAAGCTGTTCTGTCGCGTGAAGACGAGGTTGACATTGAGTTTGTGCTACGTGAGTTCCTACAAATACTGACTCATAGTGTGGACTTGGCAGCAATAATTGATCCATAATTATGGCTATTATATTTTTTTCCTTCACTGTCACATATCCCTCTGGCCCCATACACCTCCCTACCCCCCACCCGACCTGATCCCACCCACATTCAAAATCAATTTCAGACACTATGCATGGCATATACAGCTTTTATACTAATTATCGGATCAATAATTCAGTCTTAATTTACCACCATCACCTTCACTCAAAACCCCATCCCTCACCCTTATTACATTTAAGTACAGATGCATGCTCAAAAGTGAGGATTTGTTCGTAACGAAATTAATTCCTCCCTTAAAAATTGTAACCCTCCCTTGCCCTACCCCCAGGAAAAAAACCAAGATCTTAATCTAAATGATATCATTGGATCTTCATTTTCTTTCAGATATATATACCAAAATCATGAAATATATTGGCACCATCTGTAATCTAACCTCCCCCTCCCCACCCCCTTCACCTTATACGTCTGTATGCTATTCAAACCCATCCACCCCCCTAGCACATGTTGTTCCTCCTATCGAGTGGTTGTGTTGAACTGTGTGAAGTAGGCTGCCGTGGGAGGGTTGGTGTACACCTCCTTGTTCAGGAAATCCTTGTGTGATGTCTGCTCGCTAGCAAGTCGTCGGTTCTCATCTGCTTGTTCACGGTCCAGTTCACGCCTCTTGCGGTCCATTTCACGCTCCAGAAGCATAGCAGCACGAGCGTTTGCCACCTGTTGTCTCTCCCATTCCTTGTTCCTTAGCTCCTCCTCCTGGTCATGTCTCTGTAACAAACGAAATAAACACTTTCAAAATAAAGGTATGTGTAAATATATTCCAGATGTTTTTATTAACCAAACATACGCTAAATTCTACATTAATGAACCCCATACTTGGTCTAAAATTAACAAAAAACACCTGAGAAGAGCTTGTGTTTCTCACTCACCTGATTATTTACAAAATGAATGGTCCGGTCCATAGGAAAAGTTTGAAAAAATGTCATATCTAACAAATATGTAACAGCATAAAGGCTGTATTGTGTGTCAAGTCGTGTTTTTAACATAAGAAAATGTCAAGGCCATGATAAGAAAATGACCCTTCTGTTATTATCATATTAATGTTATATACATGTCTATTTTATGAAAGCGTATACAAATTTTATGAAAGCGTATAAAAATAAATTCTCGAAATATCCAAAATGAGGAATCATCTTGAATTTTATATTTATTTACACTTTGTTTAGAAATCAAACTGGGTGCAATTTTGCAGTTGGTTTTTCAGAAATACCCAATTTACTCAAATTTTCTCGTTCTTAACCTGTTCTTTTTTTTATAAAAACGAAATAAAACTGATTAAATTCTGATTTGATTTGGTAATTTCAACCAAATTTAAATAATTCGAAAAATTATTTAAATATAAAACTTAAAATTTCTACTACAATACAGTTTTACTAGGACTAATTAAAACAGTGACATACATTTTTCTCTGCCCTCTGGAGTTCCTGCAGGTTACGGATGTGGTCCAACTGTTGAGGACTCATGCCCTTCCACCTGTCAGTGATAACACGATGAGGTCCAAACGCGCTCTGTGCCACAGACGGATTCTCCGTCAGCACGTCCCCAAAGATGTGGTTGGCGATCTCTGTCATGTTGTCATCGTGATTCTGCTGTTTCTGTAATCTTTCCTTCTCCGATCGTTCTCGGTCCTGTTAAAGATAAAATTCATTTCATTAAAATAAGCTCTTCTTTCCTGGCAACGGAAAACCATAAACAAGCAAGAGGCAAATTAAGAGTGAGAAGAAAATTAAAAATGTTCTTCTTCAAATCGGAGGGGGAGTTCTTAAACCACTTTGGAAATGGAAAACTAACATTTGCCCCAATAATGAAAAAGGAGAAAAAACTCTGTCTCCTATTTTTCTTGTCTGTGTAAATTTATATTATAAAAAAAAAAATTATCAACTTGAATTTAAAGTTATTCATTATATAAATATCAGTGAAATATTCCTTCATTCAAATATGAGAGAGGTTACCAATGAAACTAGTGGAAACAAGAACTCTGACACTAGGTCAGCAAGAGCCCTGCTGCATGTGTGATTGTATTTATCCTTGAAAAGGGAAATGCAGAATTCACATCCGTCATCTTAGAACTCAAAATAATGATAAAAAAATTCCCATTTTTTTTTTAAAGATGATTGCAAAAAAAAAAAAAAAAAAATTACAAACAATTACAAGGCAGCAGTCTCATTTTAAATGTTAGTACTTCTCTAAACATCAAACCCAAGTGAGAGACTTGGGTAAATTGTACACAAGGCAAAGTTTGATTAAAATCTGTCTGCCATGAAATATTGCGCATAAAACAAAAAAATAAAACAACAAAGGGAGGTATTGACTGTAGGGTACCCATTCTAAACTTACCAAGGCTTGGTTATAATCTTTCACAGCCATATTTATTGCCCGCCGACATTCCTCCTCAGAATTAGCAAGGTCCATTGCCCTCTGGTCAAGCTCTCGCATTTTCAGTTCGTACAGACGGTTGGCCTGATCCATGTTCCTCTTGGCCTGATCCTTCTCTTGGCTTTGTTGTGTTGACCATTCTCTTAGCTGTTCTTGTTGGTAGTTCAATCTAGCCTTATTGTTTAAGTCTTCACCTATCAAAGTATTTATGAAAGAATTAAAAACTTATCTCGAAAAACCTAAAAAAAAAAAAGATCACGTTTTTGTAAGCTCTGAAAATTTGAAGATAGTAGATCGCATGTATGGAATATGTAAGATGTGTTTTTTTACCTTCAAACTTTTGAAGACTAGAAATTCCACACCTTGGGTCATCATCACTGACCCTGGCAGGTTTGTCCTTCTTAAGGTAATCAGGATCGTACAGATCAAATTCTCGTCTACTCCCAGGCTGTTGGTGCATCGAACGGAAATCGTTCACAGCTTTATTTAATTCCCTCACATCATGATTCTGTCTTTGTTCCAACATCATAGAAATTTTATCATTTCGTACAGCATCAGCAGCTGAAAATAAAAGAAGAATAAAATAATTTGAAGAAGGTAAGTTTCCCAAAAGAAACTAGAAAGAAGACAAAGTTGATTTTGTATACATGAAGCACTTGCTGTTGGAATTAAATAATTGCATCAAGTAAGATTTTCCTGCAATTATTTAGCTTCATTTGATATGCAGACAGCATGTCTCATCGCCCACTTCAAACCTCAATGGCCAATGGCAAGATACATGCAGTTCAGTTAAAACAATCTTTAATTATCGTTCCTGATTTATGTCTTTGTATCAATGCTAATGATCATCTCATGAGTCATGAAACAAACCACAAGAGGAAGAGTGGGACCAGGGAAATACAAATAAAGAACACTATATCAGATGAGGGATTTACTCTGATATTAGCAAACATCTACTTAATCATTCAGGTGACAACTTTCCTGATAACCTTCAATTAAAAGAGCACTAATTTAGTAATTAATCTTAAATACAACACTACAGTAACCATGGGTCTGTATGTATATGCAAATGGACTAACCAGTTTGTCTATTTTTTAAATGTAATATTCCAGAACCATTTCCTGTAGACCAGCAAATGTGCAACATAAAACCACTAGGTCTGTCAGTAATTCATAAACGAACAACTCTTTTACAACTGGTTGGAACACAATAAACTAAAGTGGCCTAGATGAACATTTCTTACAGGTTGATCAAATGAGGTGATTTGAGTATTAGGTGAGAATGTGAAAACATTATTGCTTCTTTAGTAGGACGAGGAAAAGTGATTAAAGATTTGTGCCATTGCTTAGGCTCGAACCTGCAACCCTTGGCTCTCTAGCACGATGCTCTACAGCTGAGCTAAAGGGAAATTCTCTACAGCTGACGCTTGTGAGGCAACCTAATCAATGCACATCTTGTCACTATTCCCCCTTTTAAAAAAAATACCAACCCAGGTTCTTTGACTCCCACCAACCTTTAAAGGGGAGGGTCAACGGCACCAGTTTACTGTAGGATGAGGAATAGGGATAAACTCACGACCCTTGGCTCTCCAGACTGATGCTCGATCACTGAGCTAAAGGGAATTTCCCTATAGCTGACGCTTGTAAAGCAACCTTATCAATGGTTTATGGTGGTCGACGTATTCGTAAGCATAGTATTGCTTCTGTTGACGCTTCTTCATAGTTTTTCACATATTTACAGGTTGTGCAGAGGACGTGTATACAACTTATATTACATATGAATAGCACATTGGTAAAAACTTGATTGGATGGTTGAACCAATGTTTGTTGAGTCTAGATTTAAAAACATTTAAGGTTGGGGAATCTACCACAATTGTAGGGAGTTGATTCCAAATATTTACAATTCTGTTTTTAAAAGCATGTCCCCTAATGTTGGTCTTATACTGATTTTTTTCAGTTTTTTTGAGTTTCCCTCGTATTGAGGTTGTCGAAGGCAGAGATGATTTGTTGGTTGGTTATATTTATGGTGTTTATCAGCTTATATATTTCTACCATGTCAGATCTTAGTCTTCTGTATTCAAGTGATGGTAGCCCTAGCCAACGAATATGCTCAGGGTACGTGAGACCTTTAAGGAATGGAACTAGTTTGGTTGCCCTTCTTTGAACATTATCTGAGGAGAGTTGGTCTTTTTTCAGTATAAGTGACCGTGTGGTTTCATTAATATCAAAGTATGGACGTACACTTCTTTCAACATTTTCACTCCTACACACTTACCAAAAGATCTGTCCCGACTTCTTTCATATTCCTCCTGTTGTTTCTTATCTAAATTTTGTTGCTCTATGGCTTGAGCATCGATCTGTTGAAAAGTAAAGAAATACTTATTCAATTTTATTATTATAAGAGAGCCTCTTGCCTATGATAGACTGGTGTCAATGCAGTTAAAAAAACAATCGGAGTGGTCAGCCTTACAGGTCTAATGTAAATGATTTAAAGATAAACAAATATATCTATAAATTACATGCCGACTTGAAAGTCATCTGATTTAAAGACATAGACTAAAAATAACGACATACCAACTTATTCTCAGAACAACATTTTGAACAATGCCTAAACTGGTGTGGAAACCTTAACCGTAGTTTAGAACAAGATGAAAACAACTCAGCAACAAGCTTACCCCGATTGTTCTAGTCTTTGAGTTGAATATTCTAGATTTTCTCTGTTCTTCCATCAATTTACGGCGCTCAATTGCAGCCGCCTCCTTGTAATCGATAGGTAAATCTAACTTATACATCCTGAAAAGTTTGTTTTGTCGCCCTTTCTCCAAGATATTTCAGGGCCTTTTCGCTAAGGGCTTGATGTAGGAGCTCGTTGCCAAGTTTACACGGTTGTCAACCGGATTTCAACTGCGGTATTACTTTGTTGTATGAATAATATTTATACAAAGAAAAATCAATTAACTATGTATCTATATAAGATAAAATAAAATGTTACATTAGAAAAATAAACAACAAAAATAATTCGCATTTCTATTTATTATTATTTAATCCAATCAAACAACACCAATACCGTCAACCAAAATCTCGTAGTATCTCGCGTAAAACAGCGAGAGCATTATTCGCAGCGACATCTATTCGCGCTAAAATTATCGACCATGATTTGATGATATGTTTTCGAATATATAATTCCGGTTTGCATCAGCATCTTAGATGCATTAATAACTTAATTGCTTAAGTGTGCAGACAAACAAACCACAGAATGCCTGGACACCTAAAGTATATCGAAGTAGACAATTTTAAGTCCTACAGAGGCAAACAAAAGATTGGACCTTTCAAGAGATTCTCTGCCATCATTGGACCAAATGGATCTGGTAAGGCCCATAACATGTAAACAAACAACGTCTCTGGCTATGTACGGTTAATACTGATACCATATATATATATTCAGCCATGAACCTTTAACTTCTTTCAAATATAACTGTTCAATACCACGTAATACTTCCTGAAGTTTCCTGGAAGATGACATTGTTTACATTTTGGAAGAAACATTGTTGTGACCCTGATTACATGACAGTTGTTATCATACAACCTTTTTCATTTTGTTTACTTATACACATCCTGTGCACCCATTTAAATCAGTATTGTTAATGTTGTGTGTGGTTTACATCCAAGACGTAATAATTGATAATCAAAACATCAGTAATCCAGGATGTGAGTGACTTCTGTTGGGTCTGAGGTTATTTCCCTTTCATGATAAACAGTCTGAATGATGCCTTTTTTTCTGCAGGAAAATCCAATTTGATGGACGCCATCAGTTTTGTACTCGGAGAAAAGACATCAAATTTGAGAGTAAAGCGTCTTGGTGTAAGTATACAAAACAGTGATGCCGTGAACAGTAAAAGCATGGACATATTCTGGCTATTTGGCCAGAGCCCTACCTGAGTACCATTGTCAAACCATAATTCATGGATATATACAGGCCTTTTTAAGTCACTCTTGGCGAGAGCCGAGCAGCTTATTGATTCTGTCCAGAGATGAAATGACGGACCCACTTCCGCTCGGGGTGCATGCGCATAATTCACTCTTGCATGCTTCCACTATATACTTTCGTTATCGTAAATAGAAAGTACAATCTCTGACAATCACCTGTGGGTTATATAAAGTCCTCTGATACTCTTCTCCAAAAAATAATCCATACTTGGAATAATTGCTGAAAACAAAATGTTTATCTCTGGTGCATTCTACGAGTGTTGTGGTGACGAAATTCATGCACTGGGTTTGAGCGTTTTAGCAACTCGAATTGAGGTCTGATGAGTGTTTGTTTTTGTGACAGACTGTCAAGCATTGACCCCGTCTGTACAGTCTAGCTTTTTATATTTTGTAAGTACAAGGAAGAAGTTAATATATATATATTTATAAACCGTATGAGTGATGCAGTATAACCTCTATTTTGATGTTTCAAATCGGAACGTAATATGACATATTCAATTAGCAGAATACAGAAAAATATCTGAGGTATTATAGTAGATATTGATGTTCAACGTGTAACTGGAGCAATTAAATTTAAAGTGGTGAGCGGCTTTAATGTCACACTGACATAATTCTAGTTTATGACTGAATATGGGTTAATTCCCCTCTCAAGTTTCATGAAAAATATCATCAGTCACACAATCACTTTATTCTAATGCATATCTGGTGGTCGATTGGAAGAGTCCAATGAACAGTAAGACCCAAAAAATAGAGATGCCCCCCCTCTTGTAGTCTTCCCTTGGCCTGAGGCCACCCTTTCCTGCTGTGGGTCATGCGCCTACAGCACATATTTCCCCTATTTCAAAAACAGGTACTAACTTTTTATTCCTGCATTAATCCCTGGAATTTCCCGACCTGCTCATGATCAAAGCCATTAAAAACATGATTGGTATCCTCTAGAGGCCTGTTAATTCTCACACATTCTCGTGGGTCGAAAACAGTAATTGAGGTCATAGTCTCGTAATTTTATGTTTCCGCACAGATCATTCATATCTCCTATATTTTTATAGCAGGTATATACAAGTTAATATACTGTTAAATTGCATATGACAATTTGAACAGTTTTTAAAAACACTTTCGAACATGTTTGTTTATTAAAAAAAAAATGTTTTTAATATCAAAAAAGTAATAGGCAATATTGTTGAATTCTACTCCAAGTATTTATAGTGCATTGCTTCAAATACATTGTGATAATCAGATGGTGGAGTGAGTTGCATAAATATATATTATGTTATTAAGCACAACTGACGTACAGTGATGCTGTTGTAGAAATTTCTTTTAAAGCTGTCAACTACAAGACCTTAAATTGTCCCATACCACTACCATTTACTGATTTCTTTGGCATTGCATGTTGAATTTCATCTCACTTTGAATAAGTGTTTTGTTTGTCAGCCATTCGGTATGGTTGTTACTGAAATATATATATTATGATAATAGCAAACACGAGACTGGCCACTTGGCCTTTCTGTCTTCTTGGGTTTCTTTCCTCTTGATGTGTCATCAGTCAGCCTGTCTTTGCAAGGACTTGTTACTTTAGTATCTACTATACATAAGAAAAAAAAAGGATCACATGGTTAACTGTCCCTCAGCAAGGTTTCCTGGTTAAACAGATGTCTCTCATCCCTTGAATATAAATTATAGCTCCCTTGGAGTAATTTATTTGAGATTAGATAGCCATTATACAAATATTGTATTATAAATAATACAGCTTATTTCGAGTTAAATAGGATGAAATTTAGTCATATAGAAGTAGGATGTGGCAAGTGAATATCACATTTTTGGTCAGAAACGGTATTTCTTATTGCTTTGTCAGCTTTGTAATAAATTTATCTCAACTGATAACCAGCCACTATGTCATTTTACAGAACTTTTCCATTTTCAGAATTTTCAGATGAACCCCCTGAAGATGACAGATTTCATAACATGACACATATATAGTGGCTGGGTATAGGGGAGATAATAAATATGTAGCATTTAATTTCAATTCTCCTTAATTCTGGATCCTATGAGTAGAATGGCATTGGCATGTAAAAGTTTGTTGAATCTCATTGAGTAATTAAGAAATAGACAAAAAGAATGTTTACAGTTGTAATCCTTTTTCGAGGTTTAGTGTATTATCATGACGCAATAATAATTAATATTAAAACTGATTCCCATTTGTATTTAATATTTTTTTATAATTTCTTATAAAAAATGATTGTTGTACAGGATCTCATACATGGAGCTCCCATTGGGCAGCCAGCCTCCAACAAAGCATCTGTCACCGCTGTCTACACAGGAGGAGAAGCGGACGACCAGGAGTCGACAGATATACACTTTACCAGAGTCATTCATGGCTCCAGTTCTGACCACAAGATTAATGGAAAGGTACCTGATCAGTGATCTCTGACTAAATACGTTTTTTAGTCAGTGGTTTTACAGAATGTTCATCCCTTAAGTGAATTTAGGGCTGTTATAAGGCAATTTCCCTGTGATAAGTTTCTGCTATATTTCTCAAAATCAATCGTCAAAAATTTCAGTTTATTTTCCCGAAATCATGCTTCTTGTATGTGATAGTTTCCCAAATTCACTAGTTATATATGCCCCTATGGGAAAGAGTGATGAACATCCCTGCTTTAAATAAATCTGTTGAGTGATTTAATATTCAGAAGATTTGTGTTAAGGTATGTTTCCTTATAAAAATTAATAGTAACTATGGCCAAAATGTGGTTCAGGTACAAATATTTTACAGATATTTTTTAATGTACAGTAAACCCTCCATATAATGCACTTCGTTTTATTTGCCACCTCACTTTATGGGAAGTTCACCACACTACAAGAAGTGATTATTTTTACTCAGTTCAGGGATCAATCAAGGTTTTAGGGGAAATAACCATTTTCAGATTTGGGCGAAATTAAAATTTTGAAACAAGGCTCTAGTGTCATGAAGGTAAAAGATAAATGTTTTGTCCGACATACATGTGTGCAGTATATTTCAATTTTTAAACAATTTTAAGCTTACAATTGTAGAAATTTTGTTTAAATTAAGTGGGAGAACATGTATATATGCAGTATTATGCATTTTAACTGTTGAACTTTAAAGATAACATATATAGGGGAAATATTTTGAAGAACACAGAATTTCACAGAATAGAAGAATTTTCTTCTGTAGGGGAAACTACCAATAAACGGTAGTGAATCAAGTCTAGATTGAACTGCCGAAAACAGACTGCTTCCCCTAGCTAAAAAGTACCTTATTTTCCCAAAATGGCAAAAATTAAGGAATATTTCCCAATTTCATTACAAATAATGCTTTATTTTCCCAATTCATTTAGGAACAGGCTGTTGTAAAATGTAGGTAACAACCACACTGACAAGAGTAGCACTAAACATCGTATGGTTTCATATAAGTGAACATACAACACCTGTTCAATAAGTGATATTTTACTATTGATTGTATAGGAAATTTATGCTTGTGTGTTTAAAAGTTAGTAGATTATCCTTTGATTACCAATATAGTTATATAATGATAAATGTTTATAAAAGACATACTTTATATTATCTGCATTTTCTTTTCAATTCTCTAGACGGTTACATCCCAACAGTATGCTGCTGAGCTGGAGAAAATCGGGGTGTTAGTGAAGTCCAAGAACTTCCTGGTGTTTCAAGGGACAGTAGAGAGTATTGCTATGAAGAATGCCAAGGAGAGGACACACATGTTTGAGGAAATCAGCAGGCAAGATGTCATCAGTTTACTGGAAAACTTTAATCTTGATCTAAACATTGTTTGGTACACAATACACATAGTGTGTTTTGATGGATGCAGCAATCCATGCACCATTCTCCAGCTAATCCCTTTTCTATCCCCCAACCAATGAGATTGGTGGAGGATATACAGACACATTCTGTGCAGATATAGCTGTATGGTAACTCTGTGAAACTTTTATTGAATATAGCACATCAATCTAAAAGTTTTTTTTTTATTTTCAATATTAGTTTCAACAATAGTCGTTGATACAAATGGTCAAAAATGCAACTTACTGTTTGTTGAGTATATTTTCAAAACTTCCTATTTATTAAATTAAGGTGTTTTCATTTTTAATCTTCTTTCTCATCAAACCGTGGAAACGAGGTCAAACATTTATTTTAAATTATCATTTATGGAATTATCTCTCAAAACCTTTTAAGATATCTTCATTAAACTTTATTTGCATAGAAATCTAGCAGTCTAGTTGTGTCAAGGCCACTGTAACCTACTATTTATATAAATCTGTCAACTAAAACAGTGACATCACTCTAGTAATTTCATTTCATAAAAGATTTTGATCAAACAGTTATATTTCAAGGTTCCAAGGTCAAGGCAAAGGCTTATCATTAATCGTTTTAGAAATTTGTCAAACAATGACTCAGTTTAACATGAGAAAGAGAGCTTTGATGTCTTACATTTTCTAGCTACCAAAAGTGGTCCACACTAGTAAACATTAAATCTGTCATCTTTACCTGTTTCATTAACTTAAGGCTACATGTAGTATAATTCTGTAAATGTTTGACTTACACAATTTGTAAGGCTAATATATACCACAATATGCATATCTCTCTTGCTGTTGACTAAGAAGTCATCATTTACCCAGGATAATTTTTGTTGAAATCTCGCCAATATTGAAACACAACTTTTAATTTATCTTATTCTATTTTTGTTTGTTACATTTCTGTTTTAAATTCCTCTTTGTACAATTTCATATAAAATGTGACTCTGTAAAACGTGTTTGAATTTATTATGGTGTCAATTATTACAGATCGGGTGAATTAAAAGAAGAGTATGATCATGCTAAAGCAGAGATGTTGAAGGCCGAGGAGGATACTCAGTTTAACTACCACAAGAAGAAGGGCATTGCTGCTGAAAGGAAAGAGGCCAAACTAGAAAAAGACGAAGCAGAGCGCTATCAGAAACTTAAAGAACAACTTGTAAGTATTCTTTCATTGGGTGAAAGATATGGGGAAATTTTACTCATTTTTGTTCAAATGATGAGAAAAATGAAATTTGATCACATTCCATAAATAGTTAAAAGATATTGTCAAACACAAAGTGAATTAAAACTCATCCTAGGCCAAATTTTCCCAAGAGGGGAAAATTTTCAGCAAAACTTAAGAAAACAAGGATTTTTTGTCAAATTTAATGCAGTATTTCACTTATATGTGAGTCTGTACTTAATATGTTTTATACCAATAGAAAGTATATAAGATAATACTTGGGAGATGGAACAACAATAAAATTATGAAGTTGATCATGCCTGTTTTTATCTTTGATTGGTGTTACAACTAATCTGTCCAAATTATGTCCGCTCACTATAGATAATTAACCATCACAATATATGATTAGAAAGCTGTCTTTATTTTTAGCTGATGACGTTATATTCATTGATATTTTCTGTAGAGCGAAAAACAAATGGAGTTACAGCTCTTCAGACTGTTCCATAACGAAAGAGACATTGATGAAATGTCAGATGAGCTCAACAGAAAGAACAGTTTGCTGGAGAAGGAAGTGCGCAAACGAGAAAGGATTGAAGAAGAAGTAAAAGAAAAGAAAAAAGATCAAGGAAAAATAACCAGAGAATTAACAAAAATCGAACAGCAATTGAAAGAATCGGTAAGAATATAAAACAAAGCAGAAGGAGTGTAACATAAAATCTGTGTTTCATTCTGTTACACTTGAATTGTATTTCTTTTATATATATTCCAATTTTATCCTTATAAAGGACTGTTTTCAATGGTTGACTTCAAATTGTCATATTCAGATAATTTTGGTTTCAATATAATAATACTGACAAGGATTTGAAATCAAATTTGCTTTATTTGTTTTGACAGGAAGTAGAGCTGAACAAGAAAAGACCATTATACATTAAGGCGAAAGAAAAGACGTCACATATGATCAAGAAATTAGATTCTGCAAAGTAAGAGAGCTTTATTTGTGTTATTTAGATTTCCTGGGAAACTGCATACACAATTAACATGATATATAGAGAGAGCACAGCAAAGCGCTCTCCCTGAAAACAAGAAAATATTTAAATAATATTCTGGATGTATCACTTATGTCGGGGATTCATTGTCTGGTTTAAAGGGAAAGTAAACTTGTGCTATGATGTAGCTTGCATCATCTTCAATTTTCTCCATATTTTCCACCTCTATAAAAGTACTGGTCCTGATTACACTGTGAGGAAATCAAAATAATTGATCTGGGGTCAAATGGTGGACAAAATGTGTATCTTTTCAACATATTTGATATCTTATTGTTTAGATATGTTGATGTGAATGAGTTTCTTTTTCACAGAAAATCCTTAAAACAAGCAAAAAAGACCCATGATAATCATGAACAAGAGGTAAGTTTTGTCATGATGATATATTGGCTGTATCAGATAAGTGGTGGAACTAAGATGTTGATTAATGGCAGGGAAAGAGAGGTTATTTTCACCATTGAACAGAAGCTTTTATGTGACAAAGATGTTATGTTTGAAAGATTATGATATTATAAACTTCAATTATAAACAGCATTTGAACATGATTTTAAAGTTATTGGTAAAAGATGTTTTAATCTAGTATTCTGATTAATTGTTAATTCTCAGAAAAGAACAGGAATCAGCTTAATATTACAACAGGAATCTATATCAGAATAAACTTGATGATCTGTTTGGATGTCTATTGAATGTGACCTTTCCCTCGTTTTATACAGATCCGAGAATTGGAGCAGGAGTTGGATGAGGTAGAGAAGAAGCGACAGGAATTTGAGGAGAGGATAGAAGAAGAATCCCAGTCCCAGGGCAGAGATCTCGATCTGGAGGAGTCACAGGTACGGCTTTAATACAATGTTCACTCTATCTGTATATAACCTGTCGGCTATACTTGACAGTGTTATAATATAGGTCAAAATAAAAATAAAAATCTTGTGATTCTACTTGCCCTACCTACCCTATTTTTGTGCCTTCTGTTTAAGTTTTTATTGGCATTTTTTGATAGGCACTGTTAAAGTCAAGAACTCCTGCTCTATATAAGCATAGTGAAAATAATTTCCAAAATGAAAGAAGTTGCCTATCTACCTACCCCATTTTTTCTGAGGATGATAGCGGAAACTTTAGTTATTTTTTGTGCCTTAGTGGCAATGAATGTATACGCTAGCCCTTTTGATGTGAAAGTTTCTCAACAAAAGAACCGTTGAATTGGTGAAGCATTTACTTTACATAATTAAATCTAAAAATGTCAGTTAGTATGTATATGTGTTAACTCTTTAATAATGCATCTAGATAGAGGTTTTCTGTTTAGCTTTGGTGTTGAGAAGATATTCCTAAAGTTCTCATTTTTGTTTTCATTTTTGTGCTCCGTCTTTCCTTCAGGTACAAGAATATCACCACCTAAAAGAGGAGGCAAGCAAGCGGGCGGCGAGGAATACTCAGGAGATGGATTCAATAACTCGTGAACAAAAATCTGATCAAGACAGATATGACAATGAAAGCAGAAAAAGAAATGAACTTATATCTAAAATAAAACAAAAAGAAAATGAAATGGAGGAAAACCGAAAACGAGCAGAGAAGTTAAATGAATATATAAAGTAAGGGTTGTTTCTGTCACCTATGATAAGTGATTGGGAATGTGATAGGATGGCCCGGTGTGCCAGTTTAATGACACCAACTTGCCTAGCCAACCTATTACCACAAAATATTTTGGAACTTAGATGTTTTTTGTCGAAACTGTCCAAAGGTTTTGTATTTTATCACATCTTTGATGTTCACTGGTCTAAGGGGGTTGTCCTTGAAAACTTGGGTATGGATGATGGAATCAATGTGTGTACCAAAATCATCAATCTTCTCAAGTTGCAGTGTACAAATTTGATGTACTGTCTCATATCAGTTTAACCAGATCTATTTGTGCTGCAAAGGTTTTGTTAGAGAAATTGGTGTCTGTATGCTAATGTCTAATTCTAGAGACATTTTATGTATTTAGTTTTACAGATTTAAATCTTCAGCTTCAAGGAATAATAAATATGGTGAAATTCTTCATCAGAATTTGCACTTATAAGATACTGATGCAGATATTTTAGAAAAATTGTACTTGAAATTTAAAGTACACTGTAGTAACAAAACCTTTTTTCAGAAAGAAAGAAAAAAACGCTGAACAAATATTCATTTCAAATCTTATGTTTTGCTGTGAAATGTTCTTTAAATAGAATTATTCTTGTTATTTCTTCTTGAGTATTATGAATTACCAGATTGTGAATCTGAAGTCAAAGTCATTTCACGGCATCAAAATATGAGGGTTTTTATCATATAATAGATAATAATTGTAGCTAGCCGACAGTTGTGTAAGATATAATATCTAAATTCATCTTTTCAGGACAAGTAACAATGCAGTAGCAGAGCAGAGACAGTTGGAGGAGAGTATGTCAGAAGATGTAGACACTGCCAACCGTAGGATTGAGGAGATCAATGACGAACTAGCCTCTGTAATGGACCAGTTAGGGGAGGCGAAAGTAGACAAACACGAATCTGCCCGAGCCACAAAGAAAAAAGAACTTCTCAACAACCTGAAAAGACTCTTTCCAGGAGTGGTATGTCAGATAGTCTCTTAGAAAGTCAAGATTATACACATTTTGCATAAAGGATTCAAAGTAAACCCTAGTCCCTATGCATTAGCAAAATCTGTTATTAAAAACTGCATGCTGCAAGTTACATCATTAATAAAAGCTTGGCTATTTACTATAGTACTTGGGTACTATTCACTATTTACTATAGTACTTCGGTACTATTTACTGTAGTACTTCGGTACTATTTACTGAATGCAGTACCATTTCTGGAACCTTTGATTCGCATAAGTGGAAGTCATCAATGTTCAAACAACTTTTTTTTGTGTGTATATTTTTAATTTCTTTAGCCGATAAAATTCTGTCATTTAGTCCACTGTCATAAATGCTGCCCTACAACGATAATGTTATGCTTTTTAAAAACATGTACACAATATTTAATATCACTTCTTATATTTAGAAGAAAAAAATCGTTTCTTGTCTGAACCCTCCCCTACCTATACCACTAGGCACTAGACAGTCTGGGTCATGGATTTGTGTTTGGTATTGAAGTTGAAATTTTATATTTTGCTCTGTTTATTTTTATTTTACAGACAGGACGGTTAATTGATCAGTGTGAGCCGAGTCACAAGAAGTACCAGGTAGCTATCACCAAGGTACTTGGTAAATACATGGACGCCATTGTGTGTGACTCCGAGAAGACTGCCAAGGATTGTATCCAGTACATGAAGGAGCAACGCATTGATCCAGAGACCTTCCTTCCTCTCAACTATTTAGATGTTAAACCAGTCAATGAAAAACTCAGGTGAGTAATAAAAATGACTTCCCTTTCTTCAAACTAGTAAAATTAAGAAGAAGAAAAAGTGGTCAGTGAAAAACTCTTGAGAAAAAGAAGTCATTCCTTCTTCTCTACTAGGTTGATGTTAAAGTGCCTATGAAAAGCTTGGGTGAGAGAAAAAAAACATTTGTACAGGTCAGTTGAGCCCAGGGAGTCCAGTCCATAAAATAATTGTGTTAAGGCCAAACAAATTTGATTACTTGGTTCTCCGGCCCGTGCGCATTGCTGATTTTATCGTGAAAGTAATAAAAAAAAAAATGTTAACGCGCCATGCCATCTTTAAAAAAATCCGGAAAATTGGTCCGCATGTCGTTTTTACTTATTAGTCACCCAAGTCCCGAAAACATATGAATAAAGGTAAGGATTGAGATACAGGCAAGCGTTAAAATGATTATGACTTATTAGTCTTGTGTACAAATGGCGCTCATTTCGGTACAAATAAGAATGGGGGGTTCGTGATTCTCATCTGGAACATCGTGGGGGGATTTTCGGAGGCTTGCTCTATGACGGGTCTCTACAAAACTATAAAAAGACAAGGTAATGTCCATAATAAACGTTTTACAAACTACACAATAAAAAAAAATTGCCCTCGTCTCGTTTTTGCCATGTAAAATGAGAGAAAAAATACAGCCCTGCCGCATCTATTTTGAAAAAAATTGGCCTGAGAACCAAGTAATTAATTTTATTTGGCCTAAATGAGAACTTTTTAAAATTTAAAGTATAATGTTTTTTGGCAAAATGTGTTTTTGTTTTCCAGATATTTAAATTTTGTTTTACAATCTTGAGCATGGTAAAATATGAGGTGAGAAAAAAAGACTGTTGCAATGGTTATGAATTGTTCAGGGATGTCAAGATGGACAACTTCCATGCTATGCCTGCTGTGTTAAGGAAGGTTAGAATGAAACCATTATGGAAATATGTATTTTGATAGAAACAATATTGACTTCTATTAAGCTGAGAAGGTTGTATATGCATCTATGTATTTTGATAATGACAATCTTTGAGTTCTTTTAAGCGGAGAAGTTTGTAAATTCATCAATACATTGCAGAGAATTTTCTGAGCCTCGTAACGTGAAGCTGGTGGTGGATGTGATTCGGTATGACCCACCTGTGGTGAAGAAGGCCCTTCTTTTTGCCTGCGGTAACTCTTTGGTCTGTGAGACAGTGGAGGATGCCAGAAGGGTGGCGTTCGGGAAACAAGAACGACACAAGGTGAGACCACACAGTCAATTGGTCATTGACTCAAGGATACCCTGATACCCTGATAGCCATAGATTTCTCTCTGAATGCATGCAGATACATGTATATGTCTTAATTGAAAATGTTTAAAGAAGTTAAATTTTACATTATGTATTAACCTGATCAAGAAGTGTAAATGCCATAATTTAAATGAATGATCAACAACACATTAAAACTATAAACATTTTAGTCAAGTGATGGACATTTAATTCAAAACCCATTCAATGCAATCCTGTGCCAAGAGGACTTTTGAGACCTTGTGTCATGGTATTAAATAATCAAGTAAAGCAAATGCTATCTGGACACTACTCCTACATATTGACTTAGTTTATGAATGTCAAACAGTAAATCAGTACCTATGATTCCTTTATACAGTCAGTGGCATTGGATGGAACACTTTTCCAGAAATCTGGTGTCATCTCTGGCGGTGCAAGGTATGAACACAGATATTTGTGCAAACTGCTACTATACAGAATAAAGTTGTATATTTGTATGGTAATATTTTGTAGTCTGACACTTCTGTACCTGTCCATAAAGAGATTCACAGTTTATTTAACATATTTACCATGTACATGTATTATTCAAATAATTGCTAGCTCATTAAATTAATTATTGATATATTCACAAGCATAAACTGTAGTACATATTTACATATTGAGATGAAAAAATTTCTTAAAGGAACATTAGATTTTAGTTCAATAAGTATCCATCCTCGGCTTGAATGATCTTGTCTTTGATACTCGCAGAGATAAATTTGTATTTCACATCATCTCAGTGATTTGAAGGCCAAAGCCCGTCGATGGGACGAGAAACAGTTGGGACAGCTGAAGAGCAAGAAGGAGAAACTGTCCGAGGAGCTCAAGGAACAGCTGAAGAACAAGAGGAAGGAATCTGAGCTAAACACCATTAGGTCACAGATTAAGGGTCTGGAGACTCGACTCAAATACTCCATCACAGACAGAGATAACACTGTGAGCACTCCATACAAGTTTATATTGAATTAAGGAAAACTATCTGAAATGTAGTTTCTTGTCTAGCTAATTTCAGTTTCTTCATGTCTTACCTTGCTGTTATAGGTTTCCTCACTGTCCCTATAACCACTG